ACCATCGTCATAAAACAAAATTACTATAAAGTGAACTGGCCTGAGATATGCATTGAGTGCTGTTCAGGATCAATTGACAAGATATATTGGTATACAATTATATAAGTGTTTTTTTTTTAAACTGTATACAATTATATAAGTTTTAGTGACTTACATTTGAAATTTCATTCTTTGGAAATAAGCCTACCAAGAATTTGAATCCATTTCCAATGGAATCTAATAGCGATGCTTCCCTGATTTAACCTTTTTGTGTGGAAATTCTCTTTAAAATGATTTTATGACATTTGACAACATTCTATATATTGTAGCTTCTACTGTCACAAATTTCAAGAGTCAGAATCAGTTTCACTTTCATCTATTAAGTAAAGTTCTCCTTTTAACTAAAGTTCAGCCTCCAATGCATCAACAAAATTGGTACTCCTAGCCAGAGGTTTCTAGGAAGTAAGTGTCCGCAGCATCGCATACCAACTATTTGGCATGTAAAACATTGTTTTTAACTTTTCTGTCCGTCCTAAAAAAAATAATGGTGGTGTTCTGCGCTTGCTCACACATCGATTATTCCATGGGATACTAGCTACCTCCCAGAACAAGTACCGGGTACCAGTGTTATCAAAGGCGAAAAGCGCAAAAAATCTCTAAGGTCCGTGGGGGCTTTAAGCACAAAGCGCAAATAAAGCGTGGGCTTGAATGGAAAAAGGTGCAAAGGGAGAAAAGAATACAAATATATATGTTTAGTCTAAGACTAATAATTATAAACATAAATGACAAATATATGACCAAAGAAATTGAAAAAAAAAATATGATAAAGTGAAATATCAATCATTTAGTTTCACTTCTCCATAAGAGGCTCATTGGCAAGGAAGTGTTTGCCTTAGAACCTTGATGACACACTGAAGCGCACATAAAGCGAGGCGGAGCGCACAACATGTTTTGAGCCTCGCTTCAGGGCTTAAGCGCGCTTAAAGCGCGCCTTTGATAACACTGCCGGGTACCTCTGCCAAGGCTTAGGCAGAAGATAGAAAGAAACACCTAGTGTTATTTTGTCTCTGCTTAGTTTGAACCTTGATTGCCAAGGTTTTCACCCACTTCATTGAATGCTAGGCCACACCTTTGAATGCAAATTATTTTTCCGTCTTTTTCTTTTCCAATATTCTTGATGATGTTAATTGCTTTTCCCCCTTTTTTATTTCTTTATTTTTTTCCTTTTTTGTCTATTCTTTATTGACATACTTGTCTACCTTCAGTAGTGTTTTCTCTTGCTTCGTTTGTTCCTGGTTCTCTGACATGAAATAATCGTACCCCATGCCATACTCTCTTTCTTGGAGGTCATCCCTGGAAAGTTAAAGAAATCGTTGGCATTCTACTATTAACTTGCATCAGCTGTATTTCTGGTTTAGAAAGACCTCAACACTGCTCTATGAGAAGCACCTGGGTCCTCTTTCTTCTATTAAAACAAGTTATTGTTTTGCGCTATTCAACTTATTTTTGAAAAATTAAAAGGATATTTGGTCCCATATGTGAAGTTCATTGTGCCCTCAAACTCTTTCTTTCTTTCTTCCATTTATGGATTTTTTGAAAACTGTGTTCTAAAGCCAGCGATTTATCTGAAGAGGGTAAATTCTGAAAAGTTTGTCCAATATAGAAGATCAATGTATTCAAACTATAAACTCTAAGTTTCCTATTAAAAAAAGATGAAGAGGAAACAGTTGTCCTGTTTGATAATTTGGTTGCTATCATGGGAAATACCATATAGTCTTCTGGTGTTTTAATACAAGGAGGTGCATGCCCTATGAATCGAATGTGTGATTGTTTACTTTATGATGAGTAGATGTAGAAAACAATAGTTTCATGCTGTGCATCTCACTCTCCCTTTCCTCTTTGAATTTATTTTTACAGTACAACAACATTGTGCTTGCTCTTAGAAGGGGGGATCTACGACTTCTTCGATGTGCTCTGCAAGAACATGAAGACCAGTATGTATATATTTCCTTTATATGCGAGCTGCATTATGTTTGCATATCCTAATAAAACTCCTTACCAGGTTTTTAAGGTCTGGCGTTTATCTTGTCCTGGAGAAGCTAGAGCTCCAAGTTTACCAGAGGTTACTAAAGAAGATGTAAGTCATACTTCTGTTTTTGGCTGAAAACATACACAGCCCCCTCAACTTGTCAAATATTTTCATTTAGACACCTTATCGTGAGGTACGACCTATTGACCACTAGACATTAGTATAAGATGTACCTATTACACACGCTACTAACATGGCACAATGTGTGTAATACACAATTACACTCTCCATTGAGAGTGTGAGAGGCCCTCTTATCATTTTTCTTCTTTTGCATCTTATCTCCTACAACACCAGTCTGCTGCCACCATAACAACTGCCTCCTCCTCCTCCACCGTACAGATTACCTCAAACAGGAATTACTGCAAGACCCGATTCCAAATCCGTCTAATAGTCTTGCTAAAACCACACAAATATCTGAATTAACTGGATCAGAAAATAAACATTGTTGTGTGGAGACTAAATCCTATTTCCAGCCTTTTTAGAAAATCCGACGATCTTTTCCGATCTGTGGGACTCAGCCAGATCTTCTTCAAGCTGTGGGTCAGTTTTGATGGAGGTACTGTGGTATTTGAGAATAGAAATTCGATTTGGGTTTATAGTGAAGATTGTGAGAAGTGAAGTTACTGCAGGGTCTGTGAGTGAATTAAGAACTTTTTTTAATTTTTTTTTTGGCTAGATCGAAGTAATTTTTGGGGTAGAGAGAGGAAACAGAGGATGAAGCTGAAAATGTTTTCTGTAGATAGGCGTATTCCATCAACTACTGCTACTTGGATAACTATTAACACAGTTTGCTAAAAGGTGGGTGCATTTTTGAGAGCAAAAGTACCAAACAAATTTAACAATGAACAGTTCATTACTAAGGTAAAAACATTGGGAACTCATCTTGAGAACTTTTGATGACTTATTTTCTAAGAACTCAAGTTTGACTTCAGAACTGATTTTGAGAACTCAAGTCACAGTAATGGGCGTGTTCATGAAATTGCCTATTTGTTGTTGGAGATGGTGGTGGTGAAATGAAGAAGATGACCAGAGGGGGAGGAGGGAAAAGTCTACTGATCAGATACTTTTTAAAGTATTTTCCACCTATCATTCATTGATTTGTCTCATCTTTGAGGGAGATTGTCATTTAAGGATCTAATAGGCACATCTTAGCTCGAGTTCAAGTGTTCAATAGGTTCATACAACCCCCTTAGTTCAAGTGTCTAAATGAAAAAAATTGGCGAGTTTGAGGGGTCGTCAATGTATTCAGCCTTTCTTTTTTATTGTTTCTTTCTCATTGTCTTTTGAGTATTAAAATCACTGTATTATTGATTATACAGCTATATTATCCAGAAGCAGAAAGATCAGAATAAAGCTCACCAAATCAAGTTAGACTTAATTGTTAGAGCTCTAAAATGGCTTGAAATTGATATGGATATTGATGAGGTAAACTTTTTGGCTCTTTTAGGCTGGTTGGTTCAAGATTTCATATTCCTCTTTCAACTGTCTTCTTCCATTACACCCAAAAAAAGAAGAGGAGAAAAAACAAAGGCTTATTCCTTTACTTTCTCATACATAACTGGAGCTTTCTATGCTTTATTGCAGGTGGAGTGTATCATGTCCATTTTGATATATAAGAACTTTGTCAAAGGTTACTTTGCTCACAAAAGCAAAGTTGTAGTTTTAAGCAAGCAAGACCCTTTCCCCAGATTGACAGGCAAAGCAGTTAACTCATAAGAATGAGGCTGTACCACAGTATCTGAACAACTATGTTCTTAATGGACTGGGAGATAACCGATCTGGGTAATGACGCTGTAGTTGGCTGCTCCCCATGGTTATGTTCAGCTCTCTCCAGTTGCATGATGCTGTGACGCAAGTATGATGTTAGCGGGGAGTGCTTCTACCTGATTGGCAAAATGGATGTAACACAATTTTACTGTTTATTTATTTTGACAACAAAGTTCAGCGGTGGCTCCCCATGGTAATGACGCTGTAGCTGGCTCCCCAGATTGATTTAGACAATCTGGACGTTGCTTATTGTACTATACGTGCCAGAGTGAGTGTATGCTGTGTGGCAATACAACATTTTTGTTGATCCAAAAAGTGTAGGGTGAGCTTGTCTGCTAAGTATCCTAAACCATGATTTTGCAATGATAAACACTCATCTGGTTTCACATAAATGAATCAGATTCTGCATCATGTCATCCACTACAATATGCTATATCTCAACTCCAAATCAAACTGGTTGAAGTTAGTTCTCATAATTGAATCAGACTTTGGACCTTGTTACACTCGACCATTAGTTTCGTCCCAACTCCAAACTGAACTTGTTGGAATTATAAGTTCACATCTCTTCTATTTTATCTGGATTCATGGATTCAGTTCTTTTTAAGTACTACTCCCTCCATCTCATTTTATGTGAGGTAGTTTGACTCGGATAGAAATTTGTATGACTATAAATCATTTTATTAAGAGTGAAGTAAACATTTTAAAATTAAATTATTACTCAATTTATAAATGTGTCAATTCTTTTTGGAATTCTAAAGAAGAAAGTAAGTCATATAAATTGAGACATAGGGAGTATATAATTTGGTACTCCCTCTCTTTAAAAAAGAATGGCCTAATTTTATTTGGCACAGAGTTGAAGTTAATAAAGAAAACTTTTAAATTTTATAGTTTTAAATTAAAGTTGTGTCAAATGTACAAAATTACCCTTCAATCTTGTGGTCTTAAACACGTCACATGAAAAGCTGAAAGTAAAATGTTACCAACAAAAGAAAGAGGTCATTCTTTTTGAAACAAATTAAAAAGGAAAGGAGGTCATTCTTTTTGAAATGGGAGAAGTATATTTTTTTAAAGAAGAGTTTATCTCTTGAAATTTAATTGGATTCAATTCTTTAGAAGTACAAAATAATTTACTTAAAAATAAACACTCACATTTCAAACAATGCAGTGTGTTCATTTTTATGTCTTGCTATAGCTCAAGGATCCATAAATAGAAACTGGGACAAAATTGATGCAACTGTCACAATATATCACAAAAGTAAAAGTACAAATTCCATCACAGAGGAAAGGTACTTCAAAAATGCAAACTATAACGTAATAAACTATTATCATGCAACATTTGCAGGAATTGCATTTTCGATGTTCGATGGCATCAGTATGTTAAATCCATCTGCCGCTGTGGATACAACCATTCCTGGGATCTGAGAATGCCAGTGAAGTTCTTTCAAATCTTTCTGACCCTGTTAGCAATGCAAGAGCAACGTCATAAGAATATCCTTACAGCAGATAAATATTGCGACTCAACAAGACACAAATAGAATTTAAACCTGATGAACAAAGAGAAGTTGTGGGGGTAAATCTGTTGGAGCATTGACTTGCTCTTTCATTTTAGTTTTGAACTCTGCCTCCTCTTCTTCATCTCTCTCCAAAGAAAGGTCCCAGATTCTGATAAATTGAAAAGGTTTCAAAGTTAAAACACAACAGGTGATACTCACAGATAGACACATCCAAACTTATTACAGGAAGAGACGTGGAAAGAGACATAAATCTGTTCCACATTCCCATTAGAGTTTCTCAAAAGGTTCTTACGTTAGCTGATTATCTGACGATGAAACAGCCAGTGTTGAGGCTTCATGCGGACTCCATTCAATAGAAGTGATGGGATGTTTGTGATAATCAAAGTGGGCCACTACGGAGTCTCCATCCTGTCAAAGTGAACAAGAGAATAAGCAGTCACTCTTTCATTTATATTGGCAAATTAACATGAGACCACCTTATAAACTGGTTCACTCTCTTTTCTCCTTAATCTATACTTTCTTCCATGACGAAACCTCAGCTACTAGGCTGGAAGTAGGTCGAGATGCTACTGGCCTCATCCACACTTCCTAACCCTTCCCAAGCAGTTAAATTTAAATCAAGAGAGTACTAGAAAATCATGAATTTAACTAATGTTGGTGCCAAGAATTTAGACACTATTAGTAGAATACCTTGACCATTCTAAGATCTTGAATAGAAAATGTCCCATCATCACTTCCAGATGCAAGCATACAGCTCGCCAACCTGATGGAAAATCAACGACATGAGAATATAGCCATTACTATAGATGCGGAAAGTAACACAACAGGAAAGTCCAATACTTGTTCCATGATATCACATTGACATCTGCCTTATGTGCCGTTATAGTTGCTGCAAGAGGGTTGTCCATACGGGTGTCCCATATTATAATATTTCTATCAACTGAGCAAGAAGCAAATACAGTATCTTCTGTAGGGCTCCACTGTATCAGAGGAAATTGGAAAAATACTTCAGAATTTAGCAAAAGTAAAAAGATGCACAAATTAAGAAGTTTCCCATAGCTGAAGGTGAAGTTAGTTGGTCCTATATGAACACCTGGAGATCCTCAACACTTGCAGTGTGTCCAATGTAAGATTTAGCACTAACATTCCATGTTGCACCAGATGTTGGCTCCCACAAATGGATACAATTCCTGCAGTCACCTGCCGAGATATGTAACAACATCTAATGTTAGAAAAAATTATGACCATAGCATATAATCACCGAATGTAATTATGTGCAAAGAAGATAGGATTACAATGCCAAACCTGAAACAAGCTTCCCGGGAACACGAGGACTCCAGTCTATAGCATAGCCTTCATCTTTATGTCCACCAAACTTAAATAAGGGTGCTTGATTAGAGACTGCAGAAGCCCCGTGGCTAAGATCACTCTCTGATTCTGCCAAAGCATTTATATGAGAGCTAATATCCCAAACCTGCCAGTGCAATAAACCTTATTTAAGAGAAAAGCAATCATACTAGTGATTGGATGTATTAAGCTTGACATGCAGTGGAACATATTTTACTTCTTAAGAGTATAGTCTTGGTAACTATTACAGTCAACAAGAATTAACATATCTCATGTTTGAGAGGTATTATATTTTCAGTTTGTTTCTTCTTTGTCAATGGAGGGTGTTCTATCTACCAGATCATTGAAAACAAACTATATAACTCAGAAGAACTTGATCAAATATGGGAATATACCATTTTGAAGTTTTATGATTGTATCACATTTTCTCTAATTTTCAATAAATGTTTCATGTGGTCTGCACCATGATTATCATGGAACGATGACTAACAGTTTAAAACTAACATAAATACTCTTAAAACAGATAAAAGAATTGTGCTATCAGTGACTTACAAATTCAATTATTGAATTATTATTAGGCAGAGTCTGACCTGAACATGACCAGTATCACCCCAAGAAGCAACTATATGGGGGTTTTGTGTCATAGCACGTATGCGATTAACACATCCTTCGTGAAACACCTTGTGTAACTGTAGAATTTCAAAAAAAAGGAAGTCTTAGCAGGAAAATGTTATGAATATGCTGCCATATCAAAGTATATACATAGTGTTAGAAATAAAGCACCTGTAATACAGGTGTCCCCGATCCAGCTTCTTCTTCTTCATCACTATCACTGCTGTTGCTGTCCATGTCAGAGTTTTCATCACCTGTCTTGTCTGGCACCAAGTCCCGCCTTTTCCCAGATATATTAGACAACTTAAATATACCAATGGAGTTCCAAGAACTTTTCTCTGCCTGTAAGAATGGTAGAAGCATGATTCATAAAGCTTAAATCTTCTCTAACTCAAATGGTCCCTAATAATAATTCGGTATAAAAGAAGCTAAATTCCTGCAGCTCTTGGCTTACCTGTGTTCCTGCTACACAGTATACAGAATGTGGAAACTCAGTCCGCACTAAGCCGAGTGAGTCGCGCAACACATCAAAACTGCAGCATCCACAATCAATACAAATTGCATAAATACATGAAATTCAAAAATGTTTTAACGAACTCACGTGATCAATTTTGTATTTTGTATTTCAACTAATTCAAAACCCAACGAGGAAAATACCTCAAGCAAGGCCAGCCAATGTGGAAGGCATGAAGAGAATTATAAGCAGAAGCGTCACACTGAAGCTCCTCTCCTTCCTCTAATTTGTCAACTCCTGGTTGCCATACCTTCGCTGGCAATGATGGTACTGAATCCGACGATCCTTCTCCTTTCTTTGCCTGCTTTATTAGTTTCTTTTCATGTGAAAAATTGATTGCAAAACAATAAAAACACAAATTTTCAGAGGAAAAAATCGCACCTTGTTCTTCCGTTTAGCTTTTTTAGGGTTCTTTAAGCTCCGAACCATCTTGGAATTAGACGATCAAACTAAGAAGAAGAAGAAGAAGAAATGGTGAAGCAGAGACTCCACTGCAAGGGCTTTTGGACTAGGGTTTTGTATCTGCAATATATAGTTTTTTCTCCATTTTCTTCGAATCTTGAGAATTGGGCTCCAAAGGTGTGTGAGTTGGGTCGGGTTTTGGGCTGTTGAGACTACTTTTTTCACTTGGGCCGCTGATAAGTTCTTCTTCAATTTGAACTTTCATCACTAACTTCATATCCCAATGTCTAAAATAGGTGTGAATAAATTTAAATTGAAAATCGCATCAAATCGTAAATCCAGTTAAATCAAGAAAACAACCTGGCTAATGAATTGATTTGATTTGATTTGGTATTAGGAAAAGAAAACCGAATATTTGATTTGGTTTTAACCTTAAAAAGTCAAATCGAGATCATATCAACTTGACATTATATATAATTTTTAAATTTATTTTAAACATAAAATTATTTATTTTGATATAATTTATTAATATTTCTTATACTTTTTCATAGTTTTTATCTTTTAACATTTTATTTCAAGTTTGACTTATTTGAATTTTGAATGATCCAATAAATGTTATAGTCTTTAGATATTAGTAACTTAAATAAAGCTCAAATCAAAATCAGATATATACTAATGCTAACAAAAAAAATCAGTTCAACACTAAGAATGATAATAATGTTGTTGAATATTTGTTCTTTAATTTTACATTGGTTTAGACGATTAAAATACATAACCTAATTATAGATTTTCTTTAATGTTTAGTCATGTAATTAATACTTATTAGACTTATTTCACTTTATCAAAAAAAATTGAAAATTCGAGAAATCCAAAAAAATCTCAAGGTTGAAAAATCCGAGTTTCATTAGTTTGGTTTGGTTTATAGATTTGAGAATCTGACACAAGCGATTTAGTTTGATATTAATATTAATAATATAGGGCACTTATTGATATTATATCACATGGTAATTTAACAATAAATTATAACTTGTCAGATAATAAATTATTATTAATTTTTTTCTTTGTCCTTATTATTTCTCGACATTCTATGAATAAAACACAATATTTCAAGATAAGTGTGTTTTATTTATCATGATCAAAAGCACAATGACTGATTTTTTGTCGGGGTGTCACCTTTCAAATGAGAAATAATAAATAAAACAATGTAATATCATATAAAAAAAAGAGCAAAATATTAATAAAATATAATTCAGTATACTATCATATCTTTTTAAAAAATCATTCAAATTTTTTTTATAACTTTTTCTTCATTATTTTTTTTTAAAAAGTATTCAAAATAACCTTATTAAAAATAATAGTACTAAATGTTTTCAAATATAGATCACCAATCAGTAAACGACTTATTACACATTTAATTTCATAAATTGTTCTTAATTAATTTTATTTAGTGTGAAAAAGGTGAAAGAAAAAATAAAACAAAAAATAAGCCTATGAAAAGGGTAAATGAAGAACCTAAAAGGCTAAAATATATCAAAATAACCCCATAAGCATTTGAACTCGCAACCTCAACTATAGAACTAAAACATCCAACGTAACCAACTAAGTTGCACCCTTCTTTATTGTCACGATCCAAGGTAGCCCCTAGGCGTAATATGACGTACCAGACCCCAAGAGGCCCCATACAAGCTACTTAGCTTTCATAATACAAGATAATAGAATACTGAGATTTAAAAGACTAAATTTCAAGATATCAAAGTTTTATAAAGCAAAGCGAAAATCTAAACATCGTCTCATTAGCCATCTAGTACATAAGAATGAAATTGGCACTAGCCCATACATCATGTCCAAAACTGAAAACAATGAAAGTCCGTCCTCGAAGCATGAGGACTCACCCAAAGCTTGAAATCTCTCAAATCAACCTCTAGTCACGAAACTGGGAACCTGACTGTCGGACCCTACTTTTGGGAAAATGTGGGCACGAGTATGCGTTAGTACAAACATGTACCAAGTATGATAGCTATGCATAAAAACATTTAAAACATGCTAAAACGGGACATTTTCATGAGTAAGCAATGATCAAGCTAAAACATCAATCTTGTGAGTTTAAAAACATAAGTCATAAAACATGATCAATGCAAGTGAACATCATCTTAAAACATACTTACGATACTTCTTGAAGTAACCTTAATTCATCATAGCTTGCTTGTTGGAAGTAGCCTTAACCGACATTTAAGACCATGCGAGCTATCAACATGGAATTCGGTGTCTCCCACACCGAAAAGAGTTGTCCTACTTGCCAAGGTAAGGACCATGAACTTCTAGCTATTGTGGATCCACTAGCTAATGTCTATCTAGACAATCCTATGTTGGCACATAGTTCATGGGACATGGGCAATCGCCACGTGTCCACTCGGTACTAAGCTTAACTTCCACGGAATAGTTCTTAATCCTATTCATCTTAGCTCTTAAAGGAACATGGGTAACCGTCTCTTGTCCTCACATCATATGACACGGGTAATCGCCTCTTGTCATTCAATAGAGAGCATGGGTAATCGCCTCTTGCCTCAACATTAGCTTAACTCCTTTCATTTTAGGTGAGAAGACCTTTCAACCTTAAGAACCCTTATTATGTAAGGAAACCTTTCACAATCATGCTTTTATGTGTATATGAGAAATCCTTTCAACAACACAACAACAACATCATCATTGATACTTCACTCTCAAAGCATATTTAAAACATTTACATAAATTCCATAAGAACATGTTTAATTTCATAATTTATTCTTTCATAATCCAAAACCCACATCATATGCTCATAACTTGAAAAACATGAGAATTACATGGGTTCATGGGGAATCATCATAAAACCATAGAATTTCATCAAACATGCATAAGAGATCATAATTCAATGAATTAAATCAATAATCAAGAGAACCTATAACATAGAAGAAAAATCCTAACTCAATTGGGGATTTCTAACTTTGAAAATAAGAGAATCTGGGAACTCCATGAATGAAAGGAATCCATGGATGAAAACTATCATACCTCAATGTCAATTGCTTATCTTCAATGGAGGAATTGGAGACTTGACTTGGAACCCTAGGTTGGGCCCTTCTTCTTCAAGCTTTCAGAAATATTTGGGAGGAAGAAACTTGATCTTCTTTTGTAAATTTGAGAGAATGACTTTAATTGGGGAATTTTGGGGTTAAAATTACTTATATATGGGTTCTAGGTAAGAGCAAAACAACATAGTATCAAAATAAAATAATTTGAAAAAGACCCAACTGACGTTGACTTATAATAACACTCAACTACACTTCATCCGATTCTAAGTGTAGGCGGTCGCAATCAAGTATAAACCCAATAAAGAGTTGTGATCAATCCCACAAGGAGTGATACAGTAAATAATTCAATTACGAAGTGAAAAGAGTGCTTTAATCGATTGTAGGAGTAAACATTTTTGAAACAACTAAAATAAATGGCAGGGGTTTGACAACTAGTGTCAATTGGGGGGATTAGAGTGAGCAAATAACAGCTACTAACAAACGAGAGTGATCAAGTAGGGAGGAATCCTTGGGGATGTGATCGATTAAACACCAATTTCGTTGTATGGGTGATTATTATTTACTAAAAGTCATTGAATTTTAGTGGGTAGGCTAGGCTTTAAGTATAACAGTTATTTCTCAATCAACTATTACGAATCAAGCGAGTTCTCTCGAACCTCGACAAGCCCAATAAATATGAACAAACCCACCTAAAACCTCAATTAATCTACTCTTTCGAGCTAGATTAGTAGGATTGAATTCAGACCCACTTTCTCAAGCTGAATCCACAATAGCCCAATCACTACAATCATCAATTGATAGTCTTAATCCTAAAACCTCTCTCTCAAGCAAGCTTAGAATGCTAAACTAGAATTGTATTTGCAACTACAATTCATCAATTAAAACTCAACTATCAATTGAACTCACTTCAAATCAACATTAAAAATAGTAAATACTAACACCCATAAGCTAATTGAAACATTCAATCACATAATCACACCCTCAAGAATGGAGATTTTAGCCAAACATCATAAAAAGCAAGAAAATGTCACCAACTATGTCCTCCATCAGCTTGGGTAACAAATTGCAAGTCTTCAAAATACTCAAAATCAAAACCAACCCTAAATTCCTACTAAAAAAAGACTAAAAACAATGTTCAGAGTGTTTTAGATTAAAAAAAAACCCAGGATTAGAATGTGAGGGAACTCCTTTTATTCTTTTCAAAATTCAATTTATACGTTCCTAGATTTTTAACTTCCGCGCCATTCGGTGGAATAAGTCGAGCTTCACCGACCAGGTCGGCAACGTGCCAAATGCTCATTTCCATCGCCTTCTTGGCTTGATTCTTCACCACTTCCCTTTTGTGACTTTAGGTGATCAGGATTTCCATCGCCGATCCTGTCGGCACTTCACTGAAACGTCACTTTCCTCGCCGAGTTGGCTTTTCCCTGGGCTGGCCTGCTGTAACTTTTGGCGAGCTGAAGAGCCACTCGGTGACTCGTTGAGTGGCTTTGGTGAGCGTCAGCCTTGCTTTTCTTCAGCTTTTTCTCTCCTTTTTGACTGGTAATGTCCTTGCCCTGCTCTTTTGCCTTCATTGCTGTAAATTAGCATTTTGACATCAATTTAGAGCATAAAATAGGCATTGCAGACACTAAAACTCTAAATATTAAGCCCTAAATGAGTCGAAATCCCTGACTCATCAACAACCTCAACTTAAACATTTGCTTGTCCTCAAGTAAAACACAAGATCAATCAGTTCAACAGAGATGTCTACAAATAGTGCTACTCAAGACTCAACATGAATGCACATGAGGTTCAATCTACCCATGCAATGTTCAATTGTGCACTACAAGTTTCAAACTGTGACTAGCCATCATCAAATAGATCTCAAGCTCATAATGCTTGCTTCAAATGCAAATTCAAGCTCAACAAAAGTATTCGAATGCCCTCACATCAACAAAATTAATAGCATTTGGTTCACTCTCCATAAATTATGCCTAAGATCATCTCTATCATTCACGTACATTAGTCAATTGGACCAACGGGGTAAGTTCTAGGTATTACCA